TCTATCTATCTATCTATCTATCTATCTATCTATCTATCTATCTATCTCCTTGTTGGTGAGAACTAGATTTAGAATAAAATGTCCCCCTGTTGTTATCTCCACCTTTTGAAGGAGAAAATTGTCATTAAGCCAAGACAAAAAAAAAATCGGCAGCTCTTCATTGGGTAGAAAGAGAGAAAGTTCCAGTAGATGTCCAGACAATTGAAGTGCATCCTTGATACCACATCAGGTCTCTCTGCTGGGCTTCTGATTTCTTTCCTAAGCTCATTTCCTTTTTCTATCCATTTTACCCAGAACATGCTCCAAAGATAATGACAGTTCTACCTCTATCTTTACTCAATTCTCTCCACTGCGTTTCTCCCGCCCTACCATTTACCCAGCTCCTAGTTTTTCTAACATATCTTCCTCAAATATCTTCCTTAACAGTCAATGCTACCATGTCCTACTCTTCTCCTTATCCCAAATTTTACCTGTTCTCTCTTTTCAATAATGTATATACCCTTCTAGATCTAAATCCCAGATATGCATCTCAGTCACCAAGTCTAGTGATGCTTATGTGGTGAAATTTGCCTCCCTGCATTAGTATTTCTAAGTTAATCTTGCTTTTCAAGTGAATAAAAAGAGATAATGTGTGTAAAGCACTTAGCACAGTGCTCGGCATATAGTAGGTGCTATATAAATGCTTATTCCCTATTCCCCGCTAACTCCTACCTCCCTTTTTTAGGCATACAAGGTCTCTCCTGTCTCTAACATTCCATGTTCTAAGACCCTTCTTAGCTCTGACATTCTCTGTTCTAAGGTCCCTTATGCGTCTGAAATTCTCTGTTCTAAGGTCTCTCCTGGTTCTGATATTTTCTAAAGTTTCTCCTAGCTTAAGTGACCTATGGCTCTGGTCTTCCATCTAGTGCAGGGGTTCTAAACCCGGGGTCCAAGAGCTTACTTTTTCAAAAAAGAATTTTTTATCACTGTATTTCAACATTTCCTTATTTTTTCCTTATTAATTTATGCATTTACAAACATAATTCTGAGAAGGGGCTCACAGGCTTCACCAGACTACTGACCAGAAAGCTCAGGACACTGAACTGGTTAAGACCCCTGCTCCACTGGAACATCCCTGAATTGCAGGCATAGGGCTCAGGAACAATGAACCAAACCATCAACTCTGAATCGGCTGAGTGATGAACAACCTCACTGGGAAACCAGGCGAGCCAGCCAGGTCCAGGGGGCCCTCCTCCCCAACCCCAGGTGGGTCTGTACAGGCAACGAGGTGTGGACTAAGGGTGAGAAGCCCTGTGTTCTGGACCTGACCGCCGCTTCCTAGCTGTGTGACCATGGGGGCCTCGCTTCATCTCTGAATTCTAGTTCTCCCACGAGAAAAACCAAGAGGTACCAGGGATGCAGGAACAGACAACAGCCTGCACAAGACACTTCTTGTTGGGGGATGGACTGCCAAATCTGGGGAACAGCAAATAGGTCACTTTGGCTGGACTGAAAAGTCCATGGAAATAATGAAGGTGAGATGAAGTTGGGAAAGAAGGGGTAGCCTGGTTGTGAGGGGCTAAATGACATTTTATCATAGAGACCATAGGGAGCCCCTGAAGATTTTGGGGGTAAACACTAGAACACAGGGTACCCGTGAAGAGACGATTGCAATAACTGAGGCAAGAGACCATCTGATCTGATCTAGGGCAGGGGCTGTGTGAGTGGAGAGAAGGACACTGAGGTGAAAGATGTTGTGGAGCAGGGGAGTGAAGAAGAAGGAAGGATCCAGGATGAGTCTGAAATGACACACGTCAGCTACCAGGAAGGCAATGGTGTCTTCAAGAAAATAGGGAGATTTAGAGGAGGGACAGGTTAGGGGGGAAGTTAATGAGCTCTGCTTGTGCTCATCGGGTTAGAGATACCAATGAGGCACCAAGGTTGAGGTGTCAAGTAGGGAGCAGAATTCATGGAGCTGGAGCTAAGGAAAGGGAGTGGGATTGAGCTGATATGGTCATCATCTTCGTGGATGTAATAACAGAACCTGTGGGAGATGACGGGATCAATCAACAGGCATTTATTAGATACTGACTATGTGACAGGCGCTGAGCTGAGGACAGTGTGAAATATAAAGAAAAAACAAAAGCAGTCGTTGCCTTCCAGGAGCTTCCATTCTATTGGAGGAAGTGACATTGCTAGATGGGAATATACCAGCTAGCTACAGAGCAGATGGGTCACCAAGCCCTTAGAACGGAGGAGAGAGCCCAGGGGGACCATCCCTGCTTAGGGGGCAGAGCAAAGGAGACCAAGAAGGAGATGAGGAAAACCAAGAGGGAAAAGTATCGTGGAGGCCAAGGGAAGGGAGGGTACAGAAGGGAAAAGTGGGGATGGTCAACGATGCCAGTTGATAGAGAGAGATCAACAAGGATGAGGAGCTGGGCAAGTCCCCACATCCCCATATTACAGATGAGGAAACCGAGGTTTAGTGATGGAAAGTGACTTCCCCAGCCAAGGTCATACAGATCTAGGCCAGGGGTGGGGAACCTGTGGCCTCAGGGCCACAGGCGGCCCTCTAGGTCCTCAATTGTGGCCCTTTGATTGAATACAAACTTCACAACACAAATCCCCCTCATAAAAGGATTTCTTCTGTAAAATTTGGACTCAGTCAGAGGGCTGTACTTGAGGACCTAGAAGGCCAGAGCTATACGACCTTGGCTGGGGAAGTCACTTTTCATCACTAAACCTCAGTTTCCTGGTCTGTAATATGGAGATGTGGGGATTTGCCTAGCTCTGAGTCAAATGAGATTGGGTATGTAAATACGTCCTTGATCTCAGTGGCTGAAAGATTGTGTATAAAATTGTGTAAAAACTCTCTGTACATCGAGCTATTATTGTTACAGATGAAGAAGCTGAGGCCTGGGATGGTTAAATGACTTGCCCAGGGTCACACAGCTGGGTGGTAAGTAGCAAAGTCTGCTGTCTTTTCTACTGCACCAGAATTGACTCTCCTTTGCCATTCCACTGCCCCTCACTCACCTGAGGGTACTGGGGAAAGGATGGCCAGTAATGACATCATTGGACAGCTCCGCTCTATCCCCTGCCCCCAGAGTACCTTACTGTTGAGAGGCAGCCTTTTTGGTGGGCAGAGACTTCCCTGTTCCTCCTCCTCCTCCCTCCCCCCTGCCCACCACCTCCAGGAAGCCCCGTACCCCCAGTCCAAACTGACCTGGGTGGTGCTGTCCCGCAGGGTGGGGGAGCGGCCCCTCCTCGTGGTGGTGGTGGCCATGGTGGTGGTGGTCTCCATGATGGTGGTGGCCATGTCGGCCAGTAGGGTGGTGGCTGTGGTCTCCGCACTCAGCAGCACGGACGGCCCCTCCCCCACCAGGCGCAGGTGGCCCTCAGTCCGCACATTGGGGTCGCTCTCAGCGGCCAGGGCCAGCACCTTGAGCCCATTGTAGTAGAGGCCAGACACCTGACCTTGGAAGGGGCGGCCCTGGTCCCGGCCCCCAATCTTGATGGCAGCCTGGCTGTTGAAGATGGTCAGCTGACGGCCTGGCGGGGGGGGGGGGGGGGGGGGGAAGAAAGGGGGGGGGGGGGGAGGAGAGGTAAGACATGGGACAGGAGCAGGGAAGGAGCGGGACAGAGGCAGAGACAGGAGCGGAGGGAGCAAAGCCACGGGGGAGAGATGGCAAGGATGAGAGATGCCAAATCAGCAGAGGGGACAGGGGAAGTGGGCAGTTTGAGAGAAAGGGCGGCACGAAGTAAGGAAAGGTCAGAGCGAAGAAGGGACCGCAGGAGAGCGAGGAGAGACGAGAGGGAGGAGGGGACGGCAGAACACGGGGGGCAGAGCGGGGAGAGGGGATGGCAGGGGTACCAAGGAGAGGTAGAGAGAGGGTGGTAGGCAGAGCAAATGGGAGGAGACCAGGGAGAAACAAGGACCAGGACGGCAGAGGGGAGGGCAGAGGGGGTGGCAGGGAGACCAGGGAGAGGGCCAAAGACAGACAACCGAAGGGAAATCTTCGTCAGCTCCAGCCCCTGGCCCCCACCCTAGCTGAGCCAGCAGGGTCCCCGGGGGGAGGGGAGCCCCCAGCACACACATAGCCTGGGCAGAGACACCCCAACTTTGAGGTGGGCTCTCACCCTCCCCAGGCTCACGCCCTTTTCCTCCTGGTTCACTCTTGGTTTCATGCCTTTCCCTTCCTCCACCCCCATTTCTTCTCTCTCCTTTGCTGGTGGCCTCTCCTGCTCGTTACCTTCTCCTTCCTAACCCTATAGCAGTTAAGACCCCATCTCAGAGAGGAAGAGCTGGGAGGTATCTTAGAGACACTTAATCCGGTCCCCTCCTTTTACAAATGAGAAAACTGAGGCTCAGAGAAATGAAGGGACTTTGCCCAGGTCTCTGACCACTTCACACATCATGCCAATCCCTGGGCCCTTAGAACCCTCCCAGAGAATAGAATCAGGAAAGGCAGAGAGGGTGTAAGAGTAAGTCAGAAAGAGACAAAACAAGGGCATGAGATACAGGAAGGAAGGGAAGGAAAAAAGGAAGAAAGAGTGAGAGAGACAGAAACAGACAGTGCAAGAGAGAGATAGGGAGACAGAGTCAGGGAGACCCAGAGACAGAGTCAGAGAGACAGTGAGAGAGAGAGACAGAGAGAGAGACACACAGAGTCAGGGAGACACAGAGACAGACAGTGTGAGACAGACAGAGTCAG